AATTGACGTCAGCTGCTGGAAAGGAAGCAAAGCGCTGACCTTAAACTTGGCCACCAGTCCACTCTCACATCCAGGAATGAAGCCAGAGGGTGCTCTTGGCACCGCATGCATGCAGCAGCAGCCCAGCATTAAGGGAGGGAATCCTCTGCTGCCCCAGGGAGGGCAAATCCCCCCTCACAGGAAACACACAGCCCTGAGATTAGCAGTGGGCCCAGCTGACGCAGCCTGTCCCCAGCCCAGACTGCAAAAAGCCAGAGTTCAGTGTCTCTGTTCCTAACCCGAGGCTCCAGCTCTGCCTGCGTTTCCCAAGAGCACAGCATTCCCTGTTAGGTCCAAGGGCAAACAGGAGAAAGGGAAAACTCCAGGAGAAAGCCTGCATGGTGGATCCCTGTGTAGACCTCTCCCTGTGCTGAAGGCTCCTGCCCATACTGCTTAGTTAAATACAAACTCAGATGTTTCAAAATCAGCTTTAACAATCATTTTTTTTTAAGGCCTGGTAATGAAAACCAGATCCACGCCCTTCCCTGTCAAAGTCATCTGAGCTACCTTGGCTGAGTGTGAAGAGGTGAACAGCCTCGCTCCTGAGAGCCCTTCCCTGCTTCCCTGCTCATCTCAGGCAAGACACTGTCCCCCCTGCTCTAGAGGCCCTGGTGTTTGACCTCAGCCTCCCTCCCCGCCCTCCACCGCTTGGTGCATGTCCTTGGGAAGTCCTTCCTTCTGCAGGGAACCTCCACAGACTTGTCACTTCCTAAAAAGCACCAGTGTCTTCAATATACTTTTGAATCTCCAGAATTTTCCTTCCTGGCTTTTTCACAGAGCAAAATTTTAAACATCACATGATCTGATTCAAACCTCACATAATCTGTCCAGAAATACTTTAACCTCTGCATACTTTCCTCTGAGTGCACAGGCCAGGCCTTAGGCCCCTTCACTGCAGTCTTAGTGAGCCATGTGGGTCTCACCTGCTGATGCATCAGTGCCTAGCCAGGCCTCCAAAGTTCCAGTCAAGGACAGCAACATACACCTATCTCATCATCCATAACCCTAACTTCCTACAGAAGTTCCAGACCCATAGGCAGGGCAGGTAGGATTCTAGCTATTTTATCATTTTTTGATTTTCGTTTTAATTCAAAGATAGAATATAATAATCAATGCACATTATCAGGGAAACCTTAGCCATTTACAAGGCAGAAAACCTTTTTGGCACTAAACAAGGTAAATTCATTTGGATATTTGATTTACTTGAATAAGTCTTGATTTTCTTGAATAGATCATATCCTTTAATTTAATAAATGGTCAGATGTACTTTTCTTCAGACAAACATCTGTTAGCATTCTTTCTGTTACATTCTAAGCCTTGGAGGCCCGAGAGCAGGTCTTACTCCCACATTTATAACTCAAGCCTTCTGCACCCAGTAAACATCCAACATGTCTGCCAAACTGACTTACCAAAGTGAGTAGCTACTTTGAAATGTAGCAAAACTCTTTTTAATGTTCCATTTGTATGTTTGCAAGGGAACAGAGATAAATCCAACTCTGTTTTCAGAAGCAATATTAAGAAGGAAATTTTTTTTTCACAAAATATCTCAATGAAGAAATACACTTGATGAATTACAGTCTCGGTAACAGTGACCGCCTAATAGGGCACCATGGCTCAGCAGCTTCAGTCCCTGTCTAGACCAGGGACCCCCAGGAGATGGCATGCTGCCTTCCCACCCTCTCCTCAGTGACAGGAAGGCCACGCTGCTCTCCAGAAGCAGGGTGAGGAAGGACAGGGAGCCAGGCAACAGACCAGGCAGCTTCCTTCTCTTGTTTTCTCCAGAACTTTAAGGGGAAAATAACCCGAACAGCACAGCTTGTGCTGCTGTCTGAGCATGTGAAGAGGAGAAGCTTTGTCCAGACAGACACTACGAAAGCTAAGGCAATAAAGCAGCACCACAGTTCCAACCACCCAGATGTTCATTTCCAAGCTGGTCTCAGACATGGGGAAAGCAGGACATATGCCAGCAGAACTCTCTCCAAATCACTGATAAATCAACACTTCACAGGGGTGAAGTATGAGCAATGGGCAAAACGCTGTGTAAGGACTGGCCATTTTGTTTTCAGAGCTTAGAAATCAAACACACTCCAAGTCGAAAGTGGGTGGCCAGTTTCAACCTCAACTCACTGGCCTCAGTATCTCAGGAATGTGGCTGATCTATCTCTACTTTCACTTGACCATCACCATGAGGTCGGTGTCAGGGTTCTGGACCTGTCTTGAACTCAAAGCCCTTGCTTCTCTGTCCTTACTGGTTCTTCTCTGGTTCTCACTTGTAACTTGAGTATTTTCCTTGATCACTTCTTTCTCTTTTACCCCTTCCATTCCTTTTTTTTTTTGTTTTTTCTCCTTTTAAACTGTTTTTTGTCTCCTCCTCCTTCTCCTCCTCCCCTTCCCCCTCCCTCCTTTCCTTCCTTCTCCTTTTTAATCTTTTATTTATTTAGTACAGGGACTTGCTATGTAGCTTGGACTCAAAGTGATCCTCCTGTCTCAGCCTCTCCAGCACTGGGATTACAGGTATGTGCCAGCAGGCCTGGTTTCATTGGCCAGCACAGCATGCCTGTGGCAGGGCAGGCACAGCATATGATGTCGGGGATTGAACCCAGGTCCTTGCGCTTCACAGGCAGGTACTTAGACTGCCGAGTTATCTCCCAGCCCTTAAGTATGAAGTTCTTAAAGAATAATTTATACTGAAGATTTTTTTAAGTATGAACACTAGGTTTTTTATTGCATAGACTAATATTAATAATAAAGCACAACTTTACTGATTCAGTGATATGGAATATAAATTTTACATTTAAAAATAAATATTATCCTTTGGCTCAGCTTTCCACATAAGAAGAAATCTTAGAACACAGCCACACATCACAAAATGTTACTAATAAATTATGAGACATACAGGCTGATAATACCTTATCCAAAAGTCTTTGCACCCAAAATGCTTCAGATTTTGAGGTGTTTTAGATGAAGGGATGTTTGCATAGACTGCCAATTAAGGATCCCCAGCCCAAAAGTCAGAAATCCGAAATGCTCTGAATCTGGACCTTATGGAAGGACAGCCTATGAGCCACTGTAGAGCACTGCATGTGTCGGATTTCAGGTTCTTACACAGAATCTCATCTCTAAATACAAAGCAAGCCATTTTCTCTCATCCACTTACACTGCTTTCCTTTTGCAATCCCCTCACATTTCAGTTTTTGCTCTGCAACCATGGGTTAGAATATAGTTAAGTTTAGGGCTGGGGAGATAGCTCAGTAGTCTAAGTGCCTGCTTGGCAAGTGCAAGGACCAAAGTTTGATCCCCCATACCACAGGCTATGCTGGCCCCAGAACCAGGTGTGGTGGCACATGCCTGTAATCTCAGATGGGGAAGCTGAGACAAGAGGATCACTATGAGTCTGACCTGCATAGCGAGATCCTGTATGAAATAAAGGGGGAAAAATATAGTATTTAACTTGGCTGCCAGTTCTGAATGCTTGGTTTTCCCAAATCCCTTGTTGAGATCTGACCCCCATCTGAAGTTGGTGGAGGGAAATCTGTGGGCAGCGGCAGATTAGTAGGGTAGGGCTGGGCACACTGTGCCTGGGTCTATGCCCTGAAGAGGTCCAGGGAGAGGCCTGCACTCCCTCTCCATGCAGGGCACAGGGCAGCCCAGCAGAGACCAGCATACACCTGTACCTTGGCCTGCGCTTCCCAGCCTCCAAATTGTTTGCAACACCTTTCTCCTGTTGATTATAATCCAATTTATGAGATTTTGTTACAGCAGCCTGAACAAACAAAGACACTGGATTTCTACTGAATTAAACATAAAAAATCCTCTCCCTTCCATCCTAATGCTAACATTCTTTTTTGTTTTCCCTCCACAACTTTTATGCTTTACAAAACCCTTTGTTCCCAGGGAAATAGGCAGAGATCACTACACAGACGTCAAGTGCACCCCAAAGAGAAGACTCCTGTTCCTTTCCAATAAAAAATAAAACAGCTGATTTCTGAATATACAACTTCTTTGGTGTAGAAATTGTTAAGGACATTTCAATCAAGAAAGTTGTAGTATGAAAGTGAAGAGAGTTTTTCCTTTCTAAGAGTCATATTCAAATAGATATTTGAAGACCAATAATATTCTAAGTACGTCAAGACTGAGAAGAATCACTCACTAGTGTGTATCAGTGCTGTGAAATGTACCTTTTCTTTCACAAATAAAAATATTCTGTATCTAATTTTTTCCTTTACCAAAATGAAAATATGTAAAGGTGAAGAAATATATTTACCTTCTCTAAAACTGAAGTCTGCAAGTTTAGCAAAGTCCTCAAAGGGTGGATCCAAACTGCTCAATAAAGATGCTCTATTTCCTGGTAAGATGGCATTTTGCACAAAACACTCATCTGTCCACCAGAAGTAACAGAAAGAGAGCATTTTGAAGTAAAAGCTCGGCCTCTGGCCACAGACTGCTACAGGAATCAGAGTGATCTGCTTTTCCTGTGGGGCAGTGGCTGTTAGGCATGTGCATCCCGCCAGCCCAGGCAGGACAGTCTGCACAGCTGAGCACTGTACCCTGACATCTCCAGGACATGGTGACCGCCAGAATGGGGATCACACAGCAAGGACTGTGGTGCTAAGCTGGTCTCTGCCTCAACCCAGGCCAAGCTTGCGGCTGTCTGGTGCCCCTGTGGATGACCTGCGTGCTCCATGCCAGGTATTGTCACAACTGGCAAGCGATGCCACGTCTTAGTTCCAGCAGGATGCCTCTGCCGCTCCTAAGCGGCACACACGTTGTGGAGCATGACCACCCGAAGACACTTTAGAGCGGAGAATTAGCATGTTCTACAGAGCAGCAACATCCCAGTACTTCCATGTGCAGACTGTGGTAAACAAGTGTGATGAGTACAGTGTCTCGGGACTCCTGTTAGCCCGGACCACTGACAACAGGGTGGCCGTGCAGGGCGCAGCTGCATCCCCAGCACTCACCTGTGACAGGTGCATCGATGTCCAGCAAGTTCTTCTCCTGTCGCAGAATCGAAGCACCCTCTGTTATTATCCTCAACGCCACGCTCTCTTCCAGCCGACCCTCCTTCATGAGATGTGCCTTTAGGATATCCACCCGAGGTTTCCCATCATTGTCAAATACTTCCTTTGCTGTGAGCCGGTGACTAGGAGGAAATGGAACAGCTGCAAGAGAAAAAAGTCACATGAGAAACCCAGTCCTAGCCCAGGTCCAGTGAGTGTGT